TCGAATTTATGATAAGAAAAACAATGCTGTACATACCCATAAGAAATTGCAATAATTCTAACATAACAAAACCCGTAGGATTTTTAAACGCAGAAAAACTATGGTTAACAGTAGTGAGATTGCTTGAAGTATGAGGATTACGCCAAAAGAAAGAAAGCAACGACTTTTGCGAAGCTCAGAACTAATTTCCTGAGATATTTTAGACAGCGGAACAACAAATGCCCTATACTTAGGAATAAACATCAGACATCATGAAAATTCCGTCTCGTATCATTGGCTGTTGATCCATTGATGAAGTCAGGTACCGGTACTATGACTTTCCGAAAGCCTGGACCAAGGAGAGGGTTTGTCCGAGCCCACATAGAGGGAATCATCGTGGCTCGTGGGGATGGCCGCATCAAGACCAAAGCACAGAGGAGATAGATCAAAACAGAACAGCTAAAAGATAACCTATGTTATTCCAAGAAGAGCATAAACTCTGTTAAACTTTTTTTAAGAATATCTCAATCAAAAATTGGAAAGCGTTTCGTCCTTGGTTTTTTTTTCAGAAAAAAATGCCCACCATAGCTCAATGCTATCACTCTTAAACATTGAAGTAAAACTCATAGCTCACGTGATGAATTGCCCAGTCACGACGTGACTATACCACGCCCCTCAAATTATTTGACAAAGGTAAGCTATGCCCAAATGTCATATGCGTGAGTGCTTGGCAGCTGTTACAGCAAGTTAAACTGCATGACTGATAAGAAAAACTTAAAACCAATCGATATAACCCAATTTGGCATTAAGATTAAAAAACCGTTTTGAATGAATTTCTGGGTAATCCGAATACTACAATTTCGATGGCCAATAGAAAAACACTTTCAAATCTTGTATAACGTAATCAAATTAAAAAATTTTGTTTCAGGATAGTAATTGTATGCATTTCTTACCTTGTCACCAAACAACCAACAAGGAACCACAGCACACTGCTTCGAAAAAGCATTGAACATCTGGCGTTCGAACTTATTTGAGGCATCCCTGTAGTAAAAAAAACCTTAGAAAATTCTAAATTTCGACTGTCAAAAAAGGCACTCTACCATTTCGCGTTGTTGTATGTTTTGAGTCAATCACTATGCGGGTAGACGTCTTTGCAGCGAAGTTTGAAATCACACATTCATAGACGCCATTGTGTATCACTGAGAAATGACGTATGAATAGTGTGCCATTGGGAAATGAGTGCGCATCCATTGAGGTGTGCGCAACCGGTTCACCGTTCTGTAAATTCACATATTACCTTGTATTCGGATATAAATTGAATAAATAAGCAAGAAAAGCACGGTAGCATCAGTCTTACCAGTAGCCAGTTGACGGTTGGATGTGGCATTGCACTTGGCACTGGGCACCACAAGTGGACTTGTTCTCCAAGCAAGGGATACTTCGGCTAAATTTTAAGAATAATGCGCATAAAATTAGGTTATCGAAAATGTTTGACACAATTCTTTTATCTAAAATGGCTAAACAGCAAAACCCGCACACTATTTTTTTCAGCAGGAATAAGATTGCTTTTTCAAGAGTTCTTTAGCTATTCAAATGCAACTTCACGTACGCAAAGGTGAAATGAAATGCAAGAAGTGCTGCCTAAGCATAAGAAAAGATATACACCAATTCTTGCCATCTAACTTCAAATACAGTATTGCCCTCGATGTTATATCAACTACGGTAGAACATTTCAAAAAGCTTGGATTGGCTTCTGCTAATGAGAATAGAAGAATTAACAGGATGTCTCCTATCAAATTTTCTCCTATCAAACTCTTATTT